AAGCGCCGTGGGTAATGGCTGAATCCTAGAATAACAGACCTCGTTTATCCCCTGACAAAACAAGATGCAGAATCAAGTCAAAACACTTTCTTTTAACTGCTTATGGGAATGAGACACATTCAGATGAAAGAACGTAAAAACCTGAAACACCTTCAAATTTGATCAGTTCAGACGTGAGGGTCTTCAATCTTATAAATGATGTGAAATCCGCTATGGGTGGAGAATATACAGGTTGATTCTTCATTATCTATAAGATTTAGGCTCATCATTCCTAGGCTCAATTCGACAAATAATCCCTAAATTTCTTCATCTGTCAAACTATAAGGAACAGTACTTCTGGAAGATGTCCACGGCCAATCCAAGGCTACCGAAAAAGGAAAGTGACCGTTGATGTTGGGAAGCGAACCCAGGACGTCATGATCAACGAATGAGACAATCTCTATAGATTCTATGGCATTGGTAGAATTTTATTGCTCAATAACACAGCGTAGTCGAGATCGTTGGTAGGTTGTCGACGTTTCGGTCACCACGGGTAACCTGTTTTCAAGACTGGGTTTACAACCGAATGAAACTGGTAACGTCGACAACCTACCAACGATCTCGACTACGCTGTGTTATTGAGCAATAAAATTCTACCATAACATTTCACATGGCGCATCGATTTTTCGATACATTCCGAACCGATTTCATTTCTAACACATTAATTCTACGGCATTGTTTTATTTCGGACAAGTGCTTCTCAGTGCCGAACGAGATATTAGATTTAGGCAGGTCAGCATGAATAGGAAAATCTGAAATCAAAACGGACAAAACAGAGAGATGTCAAACACTCGTGGTTGCAGAATTTGCAAAATATGCGGGCCCAGGAAACTATTGGAATCCCAATTCAGTAGAAGATAATCCTCGTATTTTCGTCGTCAGGATAATGTGTGCAAATCAGTCTATTCGGGCATTCTTTAATTATATCATAATAAGAACAGTTTGCATGCATGGGGAAACCATATGAAACAATAAAAGCCTATGCATCCATAAAGTGGTGATTCCGGTATTCGATTCATCATTCCACTAACTGTTTTCTGGTTAAAATCAACTAAGAATATTCTATTTACTGGGATACATGATACATCAGCCGGGAACTTGCTTGTCATATCACCGGCAGTTTACATTTCCTGCGTCAGGAGGGAAGAATCCACGTGGAATTCATATTGCAGAGGCGAATACTGAAGCAGCAGAACGATGCAAACATCAAGCCGATTAGACCAACCGGTCGTGAGACGCGGACCAAAGAACAGACGATGAATTTGTCAGAAGTATCCCCCAACAAACAAAAAGAGGAATTCGGACTAGCAGACAGAACGCAGCGGGATATTTTGCAACCAGGAAGATAGCTCAGGTGAGTAGCTACCGAACAAGCCTTCAACTGAAGCAATCGGATCAGCTGAACCTAAATAATGAGTAAGAGAATCAAACTAACGGCCACAGTGAACTGGCCAGAATGTAGCCAGAATACTCGGGCAGTCGGAGGATCAAAGCTGCTGTAGCTCGGTTTGGAGAACGGACCATATAAATGGTTACATATGTTCCACGAACTTGTCCTAATACGAGTGTCCTCACTCGTCTCGCCATCTTCGTTACTATATGGAGTAAAAGGGGCACGAGCAGGAAGGATAGGTATATGAACCTTGTCGTCCTTACTGTGACACAACATGATCCCATCACCAAATCGCCTAAAAACTATAGTGTAAGACAACGAGCTGTGCACAATGACATCCTTGTCATTTCGTGCAAGGTCAGACTGGTAGAGAATCATGATGGGCATCCTAGATTCGTCCAAATAGTCTTTACCTTTTTTGTACTGTATTCTATTCGTAGATATTAAATTCTGTCTCTCTTGTTAGCCTACAGGCTTATCATTCATCTATATCAAAAATGAGCAAAACTTTGCTTGAGTTAGGTGCATTTCACTGTTTTCAGTTGCATGCTGATACTTGCGTACGAATATGAGTACCAAACAGGTAACCAGCTATTTGACTTCGAACCAGCTCAGCAATGAGTTCCATGTGATAAAGCTTTCACTTCCGTGGAAAAAAGAGGAAACGTTTATGTACGCTTAATGGAATAAGCAAAGCTATATGCCGAATTTTCCTTACCATGAAAGACTTGCAGAATATGCATAGCATTAGAGTACAGTTAAAAGTGTTCTCTAAGAAAATTTACACAATCGTCTAAAATTGCGGTGGTAAGTCAAATGAGGTCTTTTAGAAATGTTTTGGCAAATTATGGCTTATCCGTAAAGTTAAGTATCACATTCTTGCGGTGCAAACGGACAATACTTACTCACACAAATGTCAAACGAGACCATATTTAGGCATTGTTTTTGTCCCCACTGTGATTGCATTTACTCATGGGCCTATTCAAACGCATTTTAATAGCACGTTACCATTTCCTGATCGTGGCAACAGTATCTGCGAGCAACAAACGTTCGTACTGGTACGAAAGAGGGCAACCTGAATAATTTGTACAGATCGAGACAGGACTCGAGACTTGAAGACGGAGAATAAACTGAGCTGGAGAGATTCGAATGGGAAACATGCTAAAACCGTTCCCATTCTGATATTGCTGTGAGCTCATTTACACCGACTATACGCATGATTCGTAATCTGTGATCAGTCAAGCATCGGAGCCGAGAGTCATCAATACGGGTGGTATTTCGGTTGTTGCTGAAGTTAAGTGTTGTATGCCTAATGTCGGTGAATCATAATCCTACTCGACCGGTCCAATTCCCAGCTCCAGCTCGACAGGTGCACATCGCCACAGAGGATTCCCAAAACACTAACGAAAACAGTGATAAAATATTTCCCGTAATAGCAGCTCCTCGTTCCCCTGAAGTTTTGAGATTTTTTAACAAATAGGATGGAATTTCGACTTGATTATATTTTCAATAGTCTGTGAGCAGCTAATTTGGTTGAAACGTTAGTAAATTTTGAAGTTCGCCCCAGAATACGTGGTAAATCAGGAAAAAAAAATATTCAATTCGAATGAGTTCAACCACTGACTGACAAATGGTAACCAGTTTCTATTCCTTTATTCCTCAGTAATGTCTTGATGAAGAATCCCAAATCTGATACCGAAATTATTGGGTTTAGGAAATGGTGTAGATCGCAGTTTAGGAGGAAGGTTTTCATTAGTTCCTACGTACTAATGGTGGCATCTCGGCTGATGATGAAACGTTTCTCCCCTGAATTCCAAGCTCACTAATCAGAGGTTGTTGAAGACGCGCAGGCATACGATTTCAGAATTCTCCGGGAACCTCACACTTCTATCCTGTTGAACAACAGTAATTCAGTGTCGGGTAACAATATGCGAAAATTCAACTCAAATCGGTCAACAAACAAAACTAGACTTGTGATCTCCGAATTCCGCTACAAATTCGCGGAAGTAAAATAAACCGAGTAGTGAAGAATATGTTACCAAAACGAAAGTGTACCACATGTCTCCGACACTGATACCAATTTAAACCATGAGCACCGACAAGTCAAATCAGAACGTTTCCAACATAAGCCTTACTTCCTGAATAGGCCCCAATGAGAAGCGACATATACTGAGTGATCCGATAAGGCAGAAGTATGCTGACGACTATGGTCAGGTCACAACGGATAAGACAATTTAAAAGTGGCGTATTTTCAAATTGATTCGTCCAAAAAATACTAAAATAGTAACGAGAAATAGGGAAGCTCGAGTCTCATTCGCAAAACGATTCGTATGAGAAAAACTGCCGTGGGGCTCGATTGAATTGTTTTGATCGTTTGATCGATAAATGAGGTCAGGAGTGAATAATCGATTAGAATGTATCGTTTGCACGTCTCATATATTGCAAGATGGACCCACGTAGGTTGCTCCGCAACTATACTGAAATTGATAAATCAGATTCGATTTGGTGTACAGAGGTGGACGTTGTTTCACCGACGGTGTGGGGATCTCAATCGTTCGATGAACAATTCTGAGGTCAGCTGCATAATATGTTCGGGCAAGTGCTGATCCAAGTGGTCGTTTGAGCAAGCAATTGATGTCATCACGTTTGAAAGGAAGACAAAGGGTGACTAGTAGTTTTTCTGCTCAACAATTCGTTTGTGTGATCACTTTAGGCTTGCTGTGCCTTTCGATAAATGCATCGGGATAAGCGTTTCTAGTCAAAGATTCTTTCAGCTGTCGTAGTTCGTTGTCAATCATGTCTTCTGTGCAGATATGTCGTGCTGTTTGAAATAGTGTTTGGACCAGACCACGTTCATATTCCACAGACACAAAGCTGTCAAATTGCAAGCATTGGCCTGTCCAAGTTTCTTTTCGGTAAAAAGATCTAGCGATTGTTCCATCATTCTTCCTAGTCATTTTAATGTCGAGGAAGTGCAGTGTATGTTCGCGTTCTGCTTCCATCGTAAATCGTATATTCGGATGCAGGCGATCGAGTTCATCCATAATCCATGTTGTCTCTTCTAGACTTATTGTGATGACTAGAACATGATCAACGTATCGTTCGTAAAGTTGTGAACGTTGGAGGATTTTGCTCGCCTTTTCCTCAAGATGAGCCATAAATATATGTGCCAGAATGGGACTCAATGGAGTTCCCATTGGGACACCGTCAATTTGTATGTAAGCCCGACCAAGGAAGGAGAACGATACGTTTGTTGCGCACAGTGGTGATTGTCTAACCAGAACTGATACTGGTATACGGATTTTCAGTTGGATTTGCTCCACATGGTCACAGATGATACGTATGACCTCCCGACCGGGAACATTCGTAAACAGTGATTGGAAATCAAATGAAGCCATGTGTTTCCCTTTCACATTGATCTGGTCCAAAAGCTTTACTACTTCTGAACTGTCTTTCATAGTGTGTCTGACCATTGATTTATGAACTGGCTCGAGCAATTTCTCCAGCCATTTGGCCATTTCGTGTTGTGGTGAATTTGTCATAGATAGATTGATAGATAGATAGATAGATAGTAGTAGTAGCAGTAGTAGTAGTAGTAGTAGTAGTAGTAGTAGTAGTAGTAGTAGTAGTAGTAGTAGTAGTAGTAGTAGTAGTAGTAGTAGTAGTAGTAGTAGTAGTAGTAGTAGTAGTAGTAGTAGTAGTAGTAGTAGTAGTAGTAGTAGTAGTAGTAGTAGTAGTAGTAGTAGTAGTAGTAGTAGTAGTAGTAGTAGTAGTAGTAGTAGTAGTAGTAGTAGTAGTAGTAGTATTGGTCCAAGTGGCACTCCGGGTTTGTGTAGTTTCGGTAAACCATACAGTTGTGCAATTTGAGTTCCTTTTGGCTTCAGATGGTGAGCTGTGCTTTCATCAATGAAGTGTCTTTCTAGTAGAAACTGTACTTCTGTCGATATCTGTTGTTCTAGTTCTTTAGGGTCTTCACAGTCATCTTCGAGTACAAACTTGCTGGGATCATGACGATCACCAGCTGGGAGTTGGTACGGACCCGCTGGTGCACGCCGTCGCGCTCCGCTCACTCCTGGAACGTGCGTTGCCAACGCTAGATGAGGCGTCACGGGCAGACCTGGTGGCAGACCGATGTGTGGATAGTCTGCCGGAGCCCTTGCGTTGGATGGTACGCGTCGCCCGTGCCGGCCGTTCACTGAATTTGGTCCAGCTCGCGGACGTGGCTCGAGAACTGGCCATGCTTGACGTACCTGTGGTCAATACGGCCCATGTCGGAGATTCATGGAAGGACGTCGAACTTGTGGGGGAGAATTATGAACTGGACCTTTCGAACCTGGAGGACGAACCAGTGAAAGCCGAAAAGTTGGAAGAAACCGAGTTTTCTTGCTGTGGAAACGTGGAATCTATCTTATACGAACAGCCTGAAATCCCGAAGGATATTGAAGGAAGTATACCGGAAACATTTCTGCTGGAGACTTCAATCACTACTGATGAGGTGGAAGATGTCGGAAAACTGAACCGTACCTCTGAAAATATGGAAAACTGTAACCGGGATTGCTCTGAAAGTCAACCTGATGATGGTGGAAACGAAGACATGTCATTTGCTCCAGTCTCCATTGCATCGAAAGACAACGGGTCATGTCTTGCGCAATGTGAAACCAAGACGCCGTTCAAAGTGGATACAGAAGACGTTTACCCCCTACCTGAGCAAGTGCCGGGTGAGGAAGTCCAACCTTATGCATCCCGAATGGAGACTGCTGGAAGTCATATCCAGGATGATAGGGGAATGACACAACGCATGGTGCTCAGTAACTTTGAAGTGGTCAGGCACGATGTCGTGCTGACGTGCGATAAAAGTCAAGTGTTGTGTTCAGTATTCACTCTCCACTGTTGCTATCTAGAGTCAAGGCTGGTGTCGGTGCGCATCCCGGACCGGACAAAGCACACCACCGGAGGGACTGTGGGACAGATGACAACACCGCCACGAACCGGTATTGGGGGATTTGCATCCGAAGTAAAGGAAGACTTGAAGACAGTCTGCAGGATTTGGATCGTCTTTTTCTCTTTTTTTGTCAGGGGGGAGGAGTGTTGTGAGTGTATATACTACTTATTAAGTAGTTGATTGCTGAAGGCGGAACTATCGTCATTCGTGGATTACCAAAGCCGCTATGCCCAAGAGACCGAACGCAAGAAGGTGAACAGCAACAGGCGAACCGCACAACTGCTTCTCCGTCGGATGGTGACTGTCTCCAAGTGGAGGGGAACGGTGACTTTCCAAACAAGCATGTTTGTAACGTTTGTTTTGTTTTGTCGATGTCCGAACGAGCTATTGGCAATAAACAACCTAATCACCCAGGCACGTCTTGTAGATTATAACAGTAGTAGTAGTAGTAGTAGTATTGGTCCAAGTGGCACTCCGGGTTTGTGTAGTTTCGGTAAACCATACAGTTGTGCAATTTGAGTTCCTTTTGGCTTCAGATGGTGAGCTGTGCTTTCATCAATGAAGTGTCCTTCTAGTAGAAACTGTACTTCTGTCGATATCTGTTGTTCTAGTTCTTTAGGGTCTTCACAGTCATCTTCGAGTACAAACTTGCTGGGATCATGACGATCACCAGCTGGGAGTTGGTACGGACCCGCTGGTGCACGCCGTCGCGCTCCGCTCACTCCTGGAACGTGCGTTGCCAACGCTAGATGAGGCGTCACGGGCAGACCTGGTGGCAGACCGATGTGTGGATAGTCTGCCGGAGCCCTTGCGTTGGATGGTACGCGTCGCCCGTGCCGGCCGTTCACTGAATTTGGTCCAGCTCGCGGACGTGTCTCGAGAACTGGCCATGCTTGACGTACCTGTGGTCAATACGGCCCATGTCGGAGATTCATGGAAGGACGTCGAACTTGTGGGGGAGAATTATGAACTGGACCTTTCGAACCTGGAGGACGAACCAGTGAAAGCCGAAAAGTTGGAAGAAACCGAGTTTTCTTGCTGTGGAAACGTGGAATCTATCTTATACGAACAGCCTGAAATCCCGAAGGATATTGAAGGAAGTATACCGGAAACATTTCTGCTGGAGACTTCAATCACTACTGATGAGGTGGAAGATGTCGGAAAACTGAACCGTACCTCTGAAAATATGGAAAACTGTAACCGGGATTGCTCTGAAAGTCAACCTGATGATGGTGGAAACGAAGACATGTCATTTGCTCCAGTCTCCATTGCATCGAAAGACAACGGGTCATGTCTTGCGCAATGTGAAACCAAGACGCCGTTCAAAGTGGATACAGAAGACGTTTACCCCCTACCTGAGCAAGTGCCGGGTGAGGAAGTCCAACCTTATGCATCCCGAATGGAGACTGCTGGAAGTCATATCCAGGATGATAGGGGAATGACACAACGCATGGTGCTCAGTAACTTTGAAGTGGTCAGGCACGATGTCGTGCTGACGTGCGATAAAAGTCAAGTGTTGTGTTCAGTATTCACTCTCCACTGTTGCTATCTAGAGTCAAGGCTGGTGTCGGTGCGCATCCCGGACCGGACAAAGCACACCACCGGAGGGACTGTGGGACAGATGACAACACCGCCACGAACCGGTATTGGGGGATTTGCATCCGAAGTAAAGGAAGACTTGAAGACAGTCTGCAGGATTTGGATCGTCTTTTTCTCTTTTTTTTGTCAGGGGGGAGGAGTGTTGTGAGTGTATATACTACTTATTAAGTAGTTGATTGCTGAAAGCGGAACTATCGTCATTCGTGGATTACCAAAGCCGCTATGCCCAAGAGACCGAACGCAAGAAGGTGAACAGCAACAGGCGAACCGCACAACTGCTTCTCCGTCGGATGGTGACTGTCTCCAAGTGAAGGGGAACGGTGACTTTCCAAACAAGCATGTTTGTAACGTTTGTTTTGTTTTGTCGATGTCCGAACGAGCTATTGGCAATAAACAACCTAGTCACCCAGGCACGTCTTGTAGATTATAACAGTAGTAGTAGTAGTAGTAGTATTGGTCCAAGTGGCACTCCGGGTTTGTGTAGTTTCGGTAAACCATACAGTTGTGCAATTTGAGTTCCTTTTGGCTTCAGATGGTGAGCTGTGCTTTCATCAATGAAGTGTCTTTCTAGTAGAAACTGTACTTCTGTCGATATCTGTTGTTCTAGTTCTTTAGGGTCTTCACAGTCATCTTCGAGTACAAACTTGCTGGGATCATGACGATCACCAGCTGGGAGTTGGTACGGACCCGCTGGTGCACGCCGTCGCGCTCCGCTCACTCCTGGAACGTGCGTTGCCAACGCTAGATGAGGCGTCACGGGCAGACCTGGTGGCAGACCGATGTGTGGATAGTCTGCCGGAGCCCTTGCGTTGGATGGTACGCGTCGCCCGTGCCGGCCGTTCACTGAATTTGGTCCAGCTCGCGGACGTGGCTCGAGAACTGGCCATGCTTGACGTACCTGTGGTCAATACGGCCCATGTCGGAGATTCATGGAAGGACGTCGAACTTGTGGGGGAGAATTATGAACTGGACCTTTCGAACCTGGAGGACGAACCAGTGAAAGCCGAAAAGTTGGAAGAAACCGAGTTTTCTTGCTGTGGAAACGTGGAATCTATCTTATACGAACAGCCTGAAATCCCGAAGGATATTGAAGGAAGTATACCGGAAACATTTCTGCTGGAGACTTCAATCACTACTGATGAGGTGGAAGATGTCGGAAAACTGAACCGTACCTCTGAAAATATGGAAAACTGTAACCGGGATTGCTCTGAAAGTCAACCTGATGATGGTGGAAACGAAGACATGTCATTTGCTCCAGTCTCCATTGCATCGAAAGACAACGGGTCATGTCTTGCGCAATGTGAAACCAAGACGCCGTTCAAAGTGGATACAGAAGACGTTTACCCCCTACCTGAGCAAGTGCCGGGTGAGGAAGTCCAACCTTATGCATCCCGAATGGAGACTGCTGGAAGTCATATCCAGGATGATAGGGGAATGACACAACGCATGGTGCTCAGTAACTTTGAAGTGGTCAGGCACGATGTCGTGCTAACGTGCGATAAAAGTCAAGTGTTGTGTTCAGTATTCACTCTCCACTGTTGCTATCTAGAGTCAAGGCTGGTGTCGGTGCGCATCCCGGACCGGACAAAGCACACCACCGGAGGGACTGTGGGACAGATGACAACACCGCCACGAACCGGTATTGGGGGATTTGCATCCGAAGTAAAGGAAGACTTGAAGACAGTCTGCAGGATTTGGATCGTCTTTTTCTCTTTTTTTTGTCAGGGGGGAGGAGTGTTGTGAGTGTATATACTACTTATTAAGTAGTTGATTGCTGAAAGCGGAACTATCGTCATTCGTGGATTACCAAAGCCGCTATGCCCAAGAGACCGAACGCAAGAAGGTGAACAGCAACAGGCGAACCGCACAACTGCTTCTCCGTCGGATGGTGACTGTCTCCAAGTGAAGGGGAACGGTGACTTTCCAAACAAGCATGTTTGTAACGTTTGTTTTGTTTTGTCGATGTCCGAACGAGCTATTGGCAATAAACAACCTAATCACCCAGGCACGTCTTGTAGATTATAACAGTAGTAGTAGTAGTAGTAGTAGTAGTAGTATTAGTAGTAGTAGTAGTAGTAGTAGTAGTAGTAGTAGTAGTAGTTGTAGTAGTAGTAGTAGTAGTAGTAGTAGTAGTAGTAGTAGTAGTAGTAGTAGTAGTATTAGTAGTAGTAGTAGTAGTATTGGTCCAAGTGGCACTCCGGTTTTGTGTAGTTTCGGTAAACCATACAGTTGTGCAATTTGAGTTCCTTTTGGCTTCAGATGGTGAGCTGTGCTTTCATCGATGAAGTGTCTTTCTAGTAGAAACTGTACTTCTGTCGATATCTGTTGTTCTAGTTCTTTAGGGTCTTCACAGTCATCTTCGAGTACAAACTTGCTGGAATCATGAAGAACACTTTCCATCTTCTTCTCATAATCATTCCGATCGATCAGCACTGCTCCGGACCCCTTGTTTGGGGCGTAAAACTAACAAATCAGGTCGCAACTGTAGCTCTTCAATGGCGGATGTGAATGTGCTCAGCTTTGCTTTGAACCAAGTCTCCGCATCTTTTCAAGTTGGTTTGACTATTTGTAGTTGTTCGAATGGATATTCGAATTGCGCCTGTCTTCATGCTGTGTAATTTACTCGGTGGTATGCACAAACGTAGACCAAACGAAAGAGCCTGTAGTTGAAGTTCATTCGTGCAACCGATGAAAATTGATCACAAACATTTCTCGTTGTTTCGGAAAATTTGGTTCGGCTAACGAGGCTCAGTTCGTCAAAAATTATTGATCATTCGATGCACGTGGTCTGAAGGGTCGTTAGATTTTCTTTATAATCATCAATCTGACATCGCATCAAACGTCTCAAATTCCTGGTAGAGGCACATATCTTATTCCTCCGTAAGCGTTTGCAAAACGTAATCGGGTATCCGTTGCAACGGACACTTTTTGTTCCAGAAAATTAATACAAACTCGAATCGTGGCAATTTTACATCTCAATCTGACTAGGTCATCGAGAGACCTAATGGTTGATTTCGGGAGACGAGATCTGAGGAAATTTAGGCATGCTTTTCCCGAAATAATCTTGAAAAGAAAAGCCACAGTTGCAACATTGCATGATTCATGTCCGGGACGATTTCGCTGCATCTCAACATGGTGCACACTGCACAACCATACTGTTTATATAAGTTCATGTAAAACCATAATTTTCGATAAATATAGGGGAAATTTCAATAGTCAAGTTACGTCACCATGGTAAAGACACATGAACAAAGAACTGTTTTTGTTGGTACAATATTAGGTTTCCATCAATGTATGGCAATGGTTTGAACAAACCTCAAAAGCCTGGTATTCTTTGCCACGTATATGACCCGAAACGCAGTGCTTCGGTCAGCTGGATGTTGCGTCATCAGAAGATGACGAGCGACGGCCGACGACGGGATCTTATGGTTTCGAACGTTGTCATTGTGCCTGTGATCTGACCCTGATTGCATCACAAAACGTTGTACCCATTTTGGAATATATTCAATCACTCGGTATTTCTGTCTTGTTTTTCATGAATACGTCTAACATAAGACGTTCCCACCTTGCGTCATGGGTGATGGTTTATCAATTGTTTCCTCAGATCTTTTTTCAGCATTCGAATATCTATTCGAACAACTACAAATAGTCAAACCAACTTGAAAAGATGCGGAGACTTCGTTCAAAGCAAAGCTGAGCACATTCACATCCGCCATTGAAGAGCTACAGTTGCGACCTGATTTGTTAGTTTTACGCCCTAACAAGGGGTCCGGAGCAGTGCTCATCGATCGGAATGATTATGAGAAGAAGATGGAAAGTGTTCGTCATGATCCCAGCTAGTTTGTACTCGAAGAGAAGAAGAACTAGAACAACAGATATCGACAGAAGTACAGTTTCTACTAGAAAGACACTTCATCGATGGAAGCACAGCTCACCATCTGAAGCCAAAAGGAACTCAAATTGCACAACTGTATGGTTTACCGAAACTACACAAACCCGGAGTGCCACTTGGACCAATACTACTACTACTACTACTACTACTACTACTGCTAATTATATTAATAATACTACTATTATCTTTCTATCTATCTATCTATCTATGACAAATTCACCACAACACGAATTGGCCAAATGGCTGGAGAAATTGCTCGAGCCAGTTCATAAATCAATGGTCAGACACACTACGAAAGACAGTTCAGAAGTAGATCACGCTTTGGTCGCCTTAGATTATGAAAGAATTTGGAGTTCTGAATGCAAGTAGTCGCCCTTAACTAGGTTCAGTTTTGAAGCGACCCTCGCCAAACAGTTAGCCTTGCAATTGCTCTGTCAATACTTTTGAAAGTGAGGGTTGATTGTAGCATAGGCTAGTGTTCTTCAACGGTCCGTCAGTGTAGCAAGGCAATCGAATGATATGTTTCGTCAAGTTCCACAAGAGAACAAACAAAATGGGGCAGTAAAACACATCATACTGTTCTCTTTATTTTGGCATTTTTGAAACCACAGACCATTCCAAAATCCGTCCTATACAACTGTTTCTTACCTCACTTGATTCTCTAGTGAATATGAAGCTTTCTAAGGTGTCCGTCTGTATCTGCACGAAGATGCTGAAAGCAAAGACCCCGCTGGATGGCCGACTTTAGGTAATTTATCCTTCGCTGAAAGGCCTAAAGGTTAACGTCCTAAAGCAGGTTATACAGCTTGCAACACAGAAATGCTGTGTGCATACCAAAAGAGTCGCATCCTGATTGCATAAACATTAATTAGTGACCAGTTGAGAATAGTTCACAGCTTTAAGCAAGTCATTATGGGAGTTATAACGGTTGTTGTGGGAGACCAGTGGAGAGACCAGTCACATGAAGGGCACTGGAAGCCGGACTAACTTCCTTCAGCTTATTACCCTTGTCTCTGCCACAAAATGTGACCATACACGGAAGGACGAATGTACTGCGCTAAGATATGTAATCTTTTACTTCAAGGTTGCTAGACCTGGGAAATGCCCTTTTTCCTCTGTCGTGAGGTATTGCGGGCACCATATCACAGCGGATACGTAATCTAACATTGCCTTCGTCATGTTACTTCGTGTTTTCATTTTTAGTCATCTTAAATGCCGTGCCGATACAATATGCTTTATCGGGCCTAAAGCTTGAAGCATTGAAAGTAAGCCTGTTTGTTAATTGACGTTCTAATATACGTTAGACTACGACTTCAAAGAAGACTGCCACCTTTTTAGTTTCTTCCCAGGGATTACCTATAAGCTTCCCTCACTACTTATAACCCTATTTTCCAGGATGTTCATCTTTCCAACGGAAGGGACAGATTCCATGAACATAACAGTTGACGGTATATTTAGTGGTTGCAGATGACCACTTTGAAATCGGGAATGGATTAGTCATATACCAGTCAGGAATTGTAACAAGTGTTATCTACCTTGGAATATGAACACGGGTAACATCTTTCAGGACAGCCACGAGCTAAAGATTCCAAATACGTAGTACAAACTTTGCACCGCATTGATTGAGGGCTTGAATTTAGAGTTTCTATTTCCAAGTCTTTAGCACGACGACCTTGCTCAAACAAAACTCAGAACGTGTGGATATACCCTAGGGAATAAATATTTCGATTACTGATAGGTGCGTATCCTTTCTCATTTAAGGAGAACTTATTCAGCATGGAAAGCAAACATTTCACAGACAGACTAATTTACAATTTGTCCTGCAGGTTCACAACAGTTTAACATTTATAAAATAAATCATTTTTACTTTAGGGAAATTGCGCTCGGGTTTATGAACATACCTCTTGGAATATGACTGTTTAGCTCTAAACCGAGGACCAGAAAGAGAACAGCAACTGACATGTTTGCTCAGCAAGTTTGAAACTGACACGAAGGATGATAATGTTATTATATTTGTTTTGCCTAATATATTCCGCTATAACGAGCGTATCCAATAGAATCGTGTGTGCGAATAATCACGTGAACGGTAACGGAACGAATGATGTTTGCCGGTAGATCGTCCAACGACACACTCCGTTCAAAATGACCCAGGAAAGTGCAGTTCCTCTGCCGTAGATTTATGTAATTTTCACCTTCGTTTTTCAAGCTTATATAGTAAACACTTGTACACACCCACACCAGTATTACCGAACAAAAAGCATCGGACTGTTCAACCCACTGCTCGGGTCATCGTGATTAATCCATCACGTACTGAACAACTCTTTTCGCCCAAATCATTTGTTTTGATTTCTGCGCTCTCATCGAATCATTCAAACTAATAAATTTTCCATTTATTTGAAGTATTGGAAAACTCTGTCTAGGATACCAGGAATCATTTCTATCACAACCTCAATGAAAATTTCTATTGATTCATGAAAACTCATGCTGCAGAGAGAAAATTCTTTTCACTTCATCCTTTAAGCATTTACTACGTAGTACGGAGTAACTGGGAATAAATATAGTTCTAGATAATATGATCTATCATTTGCAAATAGTTCTAGATAACAGAGTTGAATAAACATGCAATAAGTCCGGGGTCTTTACTACATACTAAAATCTAATGATCCTTTTCAACTCTGGTGTGAAATTATATGTGAATTGTGTGGCCAGTAAGAAGGAGTAGACATGTGCTAAAGTTGGGTGCGTGAAATGTCATAAGATTGATGAGTTTGACAATAGTAATTACAGAGGGAAACTCTTGTTATGACCACGGAAACAACAACAACGATTCCACAAGACCGTCCCACGAAACTGTTATTGTTATTGCCGTGGCTCTCACCTTCGAACTTCTACGGCTTCTGCCATCAAGCGTAACTGCCTACGTGGTCGTTTGCTGTGAACTGCACAAGTGGTCAGGACCGTTACCGAATCGATTGGCTGTCTACTATCAAACAAGTGTTGCAAGATTGTGTCTTTGATAGTGTGAACTGTTCCCTTGCGAAGAAGGATAGGAAAATGTCCTTCTGTCTCTGGGAACGACAAACATACCTGTCCACGGGATTATTGTTTGAATGAGTGCAAAAGTAATTACAACTGGTTCCTGGGCCCGTGAATAGTTCGCAAATTCGCCTACTTCAATAATTACAAATATTCGTTTCTCTTTGCAACCTTATTTTTTTCCTTTGGGTAAATAAGATTCGTCATTTACACGGACTTTGACATTTATTCTTCTTCTACATAGAAATTTCATATTCCTGGAGCCGTCTCACATTTCTACATGAGTTTTCGCATCGAATGCATCACGTCACTGGCGGATGATCTCTTATTTATGGTTATCTTTGGTTCATTGTTTCG